GATTATCGTTGTGTGTGTGTTTCGCTCTGTCTCACATAAGACAGCCTCACCTCATCGAAGCGAGCATACAGCCCTAATAAGAGAGTGAATGGGATAGGGTAGTCCATTTCTCTGGAAATTATTCCAAAAGTTAATAGAATAATTCCTACTTTCTACACCCCACGTTCTCTCCAGTCTAGCAACCATAGGTGTATCTAAAATAAGTATAGTACAAAATAGTAAATTATTACTGATCTAATCAATTGTAATCGGAGACGATGCTCTTAAACCTACTCCACTCTCACGAACCCCTCGAGCTGTATAATCAATATTCTCTTCTGATATCTCTAGTTTGCGATGTTTCAATACATGAGTCTCTTGCTCTTCATAGATATTAGGGGGATCTTCGCCTTCGTCGATACCAACAATTGCATATTTACCAGAAGATTCACATTCATTTGTGGTGTTATTTCTCCAACTTCCACAGAACGTATACGACAAGCTACAACTATCGTACATGTCCACTAAGTAGTCCTTTGGTGACAATTCCAGGTCGCACCTTACTGCAACATTCTCAGGGCTAGCAAAGTGTGTATCGTGTATTCGCAAACGACTTTGGATAATAGCAGCAAGAAACTCAGCCTTTGGTTTGCTCTCAGTAGGGAGTTGTGAACCCCCCAAACGATATCCAACACCACAAAATGATCGCGTTTTGTCTGGGTTGACTAAAAGCGGAGTGGAATTACATGTCCTTATAGTTGAATATTCGACTGGTTTGGGTTTCCTTTTTCTAGGTCCGTTTGCACCTTCCTTTTTTAACGCATTACCAGCATCTTTTGCAATAATGCCTTCAGTAGAGCACATGATATGCTCAGGGTATAGCACTCTACCTTGAAGAACCATTGTTGCTTCAAGGGCCTCACATTCGCGGAGTAACTCATAGTATAAGCTCCAAAACGGCCTATGGTGTTTATCTTCTTGGCAATGTGCAAGTTCATGTAGAGCTGTACAAACCACCTCATGGAAAGGTAAAAAGGTCTGCCTATTACCCGGAACCCTGAGGCGAATAGATATTTCAACTCCTCTCTGGAAATTAAGCCCAAGAAGGGTAGGCTGACGTGGGTAAAATTCTTTCAAAGTTCCGATATACCATCCGCGACGGGGTAAGATCAAAGAGATTCGTTGTGTGATATGCTCCATATAGGACTGAGCTACGTCATCGTTAGGATAGCCAAGCGTTTCAACGCATCCGATATGCGGTGTCTGAGACATAACACTGTATGTATTCATTTTGAAGGGCACACATTAGTCATTGACTAATCCTGACTTTTACGTAAATAAGTGAGCTGGCGTTGATCGCAAGAGAAAGAATGCTTTAGTCTACCATCCGAATTTCATCATATAAACAATGCAGGTAAAGGGAAGGCAAATGATTTTCGTACTTAATTACACACATACAAGAAATTAACAAATGGGGTAAATAAACTGCGACAAGGATTCAATTCAACGAAGCAAAAGCAGAGAAAATACAGTAGTCAAGCATGTTAACAGCGACAAAAAAAAGGATAAGCCTTGCAAGAGCGTCTTGCGCATGAATGTGTTTATCGGGGAAATTGGACTCCTATCATTAGTGAGATTCATCCTTGTTCAAGAATTCTAATATTTCCTCAAGTGGTTGCTCTGATTTCCTCTTCAGAAGCTGCTGAGTAATGTCATTAAAAAAGCTACCAAGTGCATGATCTTTGGCGTACCTTTTGCTTAAATAAGTTTGCCAGCGGTAGTTTAAAGCCTTCAGCTCATCTGAATTCGGACTAGATGCTAAACCAAGTTCAACTTCATCGCTAATTTCAGAACAATCCTTCAAGGAAAGATTTTGATCAATCGCATTATCCACCTTACTCCGTAATGCTCTGAAGTCTTCCAACATTTCAAAAAAAAAACGAGGGTCTACCAACCTTTCTGCCCTAAAAGCTTTCTTTTGATCAAATCTTGAGATTCCTTCCTATAGTTAAGGAAAATGAAACCATTAAAGAAGTATTTTTACCGCCTAATCGAATCCACCAGACAAATAAATAGAAATTTGAGTATCGTACTCATTTTATGTCGCATAGCTTGATTAGTTTGTCATGGGCTAGTAAGTGAACAATGGAAATCTAAAAAGGTAAAGGGGTATACATGCAGCATCTTCATTTTGCAAAAACAGATGTTTCTATTACAATTTTTGTTTTATTATTGAATACTCCAGCACGATTCGATACCAATACCGAATTCGAATTCGTCACAATCTGTCACTTTTTTTCAACAAAAAGTTCACAAATGATGCTCTGCAAACAATCTGTAACAAAAGGTAGCGACCAAGTTACGCCATTAAGGTTTTGCAATCCGTATGGATGTGGTGAGCAGAAAAATTGTTTTATATTCACACTATTCTCAGTGAGACGAGCAAATGCGCCCTTGTTATCAAAGGTGCCGCAATAATTAGGGGCTGAGAATAGGCTTAGCATGCAAGGAAAGTTACCATTCGGATGGGGTCGGTACAGCTTATAGCCTTCATTCTGGGCTTCGTGGCTCCGCACAATGCATAAAATTTTATTTGCGGAAGTAAAATGTCTTACACAGGCAAAGTTAAACAGGAAGCTGAGACCGCGTCTTTCGTTCTCAAAAAAAATTGGATTGGTATCAAATACTCCTGCACCAGGCCTGTAATACTCCGTTTCACCGTCACCTGCAGATGATGGATTCTCTACATCCCAGTAAGGATCAGACCATAGTAAGTCACACATAGCACCTTTTGTAGGAACTTCTCTAAAACGATGAATATAATTGATATCCTCGATGGAGGAAATATCAGGTGATAACCCGCCATGAACACAGAAATAGCGTTCTGATACAACAGCAGAAAGGGGTAGATACTGGCAAGCCACCATAACGCGATTGAAGACCTTACTGGAATACTTTTTCGAACATTCCAGTTCGAAGCCAAGAATACTAGCCATTATACGTGATTCATGGTTTCCACGTAATAAGAATATGGAGTTTGGATAGGCTATCTTTGCAGCAAATAGAAATAGAATGCACTCGCAGCTATATCCCCCACTACCAATATAGTTTCCAAGAAAAAGGTATTGATTTTCAGTGAAATTTCCACCAAAACCAAATATCTTTACAAGATCATAAAATTGCCCTTGAATGTCACCAATTACCGTGACAGGGCCGCGAAGAGTCAACGTATTTGGCTCCTTCCGCAACAAGATAGCTGCTTGCGTTGTCAATGTAATGGCATCTTCCTTTGATAGCCTGCCCTGGCGCAAAAAGTGAAGCATAATATTTCGCAGAGATGGAGTCCCGTCTGCGTTACTAAAATGTGAATGCGGTAGCTCTTCCCAGTAGGGTAGTGGGATCTTTTCTTTTAGCGATTCATTCTGTGCCTCTGACAGAGCTACCAGTGGGACCTCAGTCCCACTGTTTTTTTGCCCTCCTTCATTCATATTTTTGTACTCTTAATAGAGAAAAAATGAAGCAGCAGCGGTCAATTAGGTCAGGCATAAAATAATAGCGATAATAATCCGAACTTCATCCAATGATCAATAACTACTCTTTACCTCTAAAAGTAAAAAAAAAATGCAACGCGCTGCAATAACTAAGGGCAGCCTTATAAGTAATTTTTTGCGGCATCAGTAATTTGACAACACGCAGTTTCGTTTTCTTCTTTGAAAGCGTCAGACAACTCTCTTATAGTGAAGGATATTCGCCGGTTACCTACGTTTTCTGGCCTAATCGCATGCATCCAAGAGTACCGACTCTCACCAGACATTAAAAAGAAACACTTTCGCGGTAAGAAAACTTCAAGGCAAACTCCCTCGCTATTCACAAATGTTATGAAGCAATCCTCCAGTAAGTTGATGCCAGCAATTCGATCCCCCCATAACCATGTATCGTCTATGTGTGGGTCGAAATTGCTCAACCTCCTTCGCAGGTACTCCAATACCGATACTTCAGCTATAATATATGGTTTTTCTGTGAGCCTTTCAACCAAACCCCGTGCCTTGTCAAGGATATTTTCAAAAGGAAGTGGTATTGATACAAATTCAGTTGTTTTTATCTTTTTCTTTTTGAAATTCTTCTTCGGACCATATTCCTGGACCCTTCGCCCACTCTGGGATTCTTTCCAGGGTGGGTAAGGTGAAGGATCATCGAGAAACTTAACTAAATAGGTTTCCTCATCGTCCGATAGAAAATCTCGAACAACGTGCAACCCGAGGATTGACACATTTGAGCGTAACGAAGAACTGTGTTGTGAGCAACTCATTAATGGAACAGAGGATACGAATATAGCTTGGCAGTTGATACAAAATCTTAACCTCGACTCTTCCAGTAGAGTAAGTGAGCATGATGATGTCCTTTCTTCTTCCTGTTGATGCGAAATGACTACACTGGGATCAAGGAGCTTTCCCTCGGCACTTAACAGCTTTCTAACGCGCTCGGATTCTTTACAAAAAATACAAAATCGAATTCCTCGACATTGGCACGTTTCCATGTCATTCATTTAAAAGCTCAACAATTGTATTACTAATGGAAGAAAAATAGAAATAATAAAACGGAAAGGGAAAGGGAAAGAAAAGAGGGAAATAGCACTCACACTTACCTTTCACGCATCAGAAATATTCTATTATTAAGTGCGATTGGTGATTGGAAAATATATAATTCCAAACTGTGGTATGTTTGCAGCCGCTCTCATATTTTCATCTCTAATTAACGCTATTACATCATTTTTAAATACTTTTTCGGTGAGGGGTATTTGAAATTTTACCCAATAATAATAATAATTTAAAGATTATATAAATAGATATATAGATAGCTATATAGAATATTGTAAATCGAATTCCTTATTGATTTGTGTTGAGCATATTTACGAACCTAATTTTCACACCATTAATTTCTGGGCCTATATATTGAAGCTCTCTGCCAAGTAAGTAGGAATATATATATATATATATATATATTATTGATATATTTACTTTTTGTTCTTAATCATATCTTCAAGAAGAGCAAGTGTATCCTTGTAACTCTTGACAGCATGTCCGATAGTACGACTGTCAGTGTATATCTCATAGTCATTGCCGCCTTCTGACGTTTTGTCCCCGAAAAAGTGAATCTCATCGAATTCTTTCTCTATGAACTGAAGGCAGTAAGTCTTGTCCCATCCTTTGGGGTACACGTCGAAACTGATTTGCCCCCCAATGGAATAATCAAGAGGGTAATCAGGAAATGTCTTCTTCAGTTCCTTAATCATAGTAGCTCTTATCTGATGTTCCTTGTCATATTGATCGAAATCATCTCTCTCCTTTTGAGAACAGTTGCGTCCGATGGGAGAAACATTAAACATGCCATTACGAAACTCGAAAAAGGTTCCTCGTTGGACAGGAATATCCAAATCAGCAATATAATGAAGGCATTTCTTAACGAACGCAAGAACCCTGTCGTTACCAAGCTTTTCAAGAATGCTAGTACGGTGGAATTCTTCACCATTCTTGTAGGACACAAGACCATTTTCACTGAATACATAGTCAAATTCATTTAAAATGTTATCTCCAAGTTGCTCTTTTTGCTTACTAAAGTCTGAGCCACCAACAATTCCAACTCCATACCCAGCCTTGCGCGCCTTGCTGATAACCTCTTTGATTTCGGGAGGTGCCTTCAAACGCGATGGTGTCAAAGTGCCATCAACATCAAAGAGTAGAAGAATCTTTCGGGACATTTGTTTTATGTGTGAGTATATTTTTTATTGCTTTCTCTTTGCGTAGCTTAACCTTCTTAAAGATTAGTTTGAATGAAAAATAGCTTTAAGTTGTATACGATAATTCTTCATTATTTGTTCTTATTACCAAATAGTTTACGCTGCATTTCAAACTCATGAAGTAAGGTCAGCGTCCCATAGGAATACTTGTGCACTCAAAAGCGCTATTCTAGAAGCAAAGCTTAGCAAAATGCTTGTGCAAAGGGACTGCTTAGATGGATCATACGAATTTTCTCCCTTGACTAATAAACCGAAACAGTTTCTCGCTGATCCCACCCTGCCTATTCACTCACACGGCACGGTCGGTGTGGGGGAGAAAGGCCCTGTATCAGGGGTAGCCACCGTAAACTACACACAACGGTATTTTATTCTCAGAACTACATCCATGCTTTAAAAGAATGTTGTTACAGCATCTGAGTTTCTTTGAGAAGCCCACAGTGTTAGGTGAAATTTAATATGCTTAGCTAAGCAAAAAAGAAAAATAAAGCACTATCAGAGAGAACGCTACGTAGGGCGAACACATTAAATTACAAATGTTTCTGCACATTGGGGCAACAGAAAACTCGTGTTGGGCTTTGAAGAAGGGCACACCACCAAAACGGGGCACGCCCTTGCGGCAACCACAGGAAGAGATAAATTAAAAACATAACAGGAAACTAGGAGAGCAATGTGCAGGAAAAAAGCCTGCCGGCCCGGGGGGGGGGGTCGTGGTGCCGCCGCCCCCCCCTGGCCGCCACATACGCGGGGAAGCGTCGAGGAAGTTTTGCGGACTCAAATTAACATGAAATAGCACCGAACTCATGTAGGATTTCATTTTACAACAAAAGTTTATTTATGTTTGAATAGCAAGTACTTTTGCTTATGATTGCAACGCCTCCCTGGATGGGCGGCCACACCGGCGAGGACGTTCAAACCCCACCACCGGCACATCCAAAACCGCCACCAGGAGCACAAAAAGTGCTGAAAAATGACGTTGAATGTAAAGAAGGGAGTATAGCCCATTATTGAGTATGAAAACTCACTCCCCTAATGCTCGAGGACCGCGTCTGGGCCCACGAGACCCTAGAAAAGCCCCCATAGCCTAAGATCGAAAACTTTAGGAAACTTATCGAAAAAAATCATATCCCCATCAAATGGTCCTATATTAGCATTTTTTGCTTACTGAAATTATATCATTCAGACACATGCCCTGCTCACACGGATGTTATCCAGCACAACGGATGACTCGGAGCTTCCACAAATCACCAAAATTGAAAGAATGGAAGAAAAGACAAATA